GAAAATAGATGATTCAAATGTGAATGGACTGAACAGTTTTGAGTGAGTGAGTGACTGATGTCTTTATGGAATACACGTGTTGGTTCGCAGTGAGTTCACTGTTTTTGCCATTTTTACTGTATTTGTAATCAAATAAATGCAGCCTTGGGGAGCATAAAAGACATCTTTAAGAAATTAACAAATAAATAAATAAAACAACAAATAAAAAAAATAAAAAAACCTTTGATCACTAGTGTGTATATATATATATATATATATATATATATATGTATGTCAGTGGCCCTTGGCTTGGTATTGTTGGCAGAATTCGGCGAAAACTAATTGAGGAACCCTGTTCTAGGGGAAAATACCATGATGGCTCTCCATTATCCCCCTCGGTCTTTGTAACTTGCTTTTTTTGTGTGTGTGCATGTCCCTGTGCTTGCTCCATAGTTCAGAAAGCGGTGTATTTGATGAGCTGTTCGGCCATTATAAAGTGATTTAATTTGTCTGAAAGCCTGGACTTATTGATCTCCCTCAGGAACAGATCTAGAATTCTCCTGCTAATTTGAAAATGTGCTTCATCCTGGTGCTGCAACTAAAAACCCTTAAAAGCCTTTCCATACCCACTTACCATTCTGTGCCCTCTTATCGGCCGCCTCTCCTCCTCGATTAACCTTCATAAACACAGGTTAGACAGGAATTAGAGACCCAGAGCAAATAACAGAGAGTTGAACGGCTGCTTTTCAGCCCTGCCATTTTGATTGGTTCACCTCTTCATCCTGAATATTAAGGGCCTGGAGAGGGATATTGTACATATTCTTATAAAATACAAAAAAAATAAAAAATCCCCCCCACCAAAATCTTCTTTTAATGTAGCGTCAGCAGTCTTTCAACATGTGTTCCACGCTTCTCTCTCTCTCTTTAGAACAGGGATAACTATATCCGTTCCTGTAAGCTGCTTCCGGATGGCCGTACTTTGATCGTTGGAGGGGAAGCCAGCACTCTGACCATATGGGATTTGGCCTCTCAGACTCCCCGTATCAAAGCCGAGCTTACCTCTTCTGCCCCGGCCTGCTATGCGCTGGCTATCAGTCCCGACGCCAAGGTCTGCTTCTCCTGCTGCAGTGATGGAAATATTGCTGTCTGGGACCTTCATAACCAAACCCTTGTCAGGTAGGAAGCAAGCCAGGAGTTGCTGCATGACATGGTGTCTCTTTGTGGATGGAGATGCATACTCTGTTCTGATGCATTAAACGACAATGTGTATATGTATCGTCTATGTATGTAGGCAGTTCCAAGGCCACACAGATGGTGCAAGTTGTATAGACATTTCCCATGATGGCACCAAACTGTGGACAGGTGGACTGGACAACACAGTACGGTCCTGGGACCTCAGAGAGGGACGACAGCTCCAGCAGCATGACTTTACTTCACAGGTAAAACGTTACACACACAAAAATCATATATAAGCATTAATAAAATCTCACCAACCCCAAACTTTTGAGCAGTAATAATTTTGAAAGAAGTCTATTATGCTTACCAACACTGCATTTATCAAAAATACAGTGAAAACAGTAATATTGCGAAATATTATGATTTAAAGTAAGCATTTTCTATTCAATTTATTTTAAAATGTAATTTATTCCTGTGATGACAGCTGACTTTCAGCAGCCATTACTCTAGTCCTCAGTGTCACATGATCCTTCAAAAATCTGATTGGTATGCTGATTTGGTTCTCACATAACATATTAATGTAGAAAACAATTACGCTGAACCTTGCTGAATAAAAGTGTTAATTTTGAGTGGGAAAAAAAACAAAACAAAACCTTTGAACACTAGTGTATTTATCTATATGAATGTGTATACACTGCATTGTACCACAAAGTTTTCTTGACTTATTTTAATGACTTCTTTACTGTTCCATTTCTGATAATATATCGAAAATCCAAATCGGTGTTTGTGCATAAATTGTCTATATGCTTTTAGATAAGTGTGTGATTGCCTTTGTGCTTTGTGCTCTCATCTAGATCTTCTCTCTGGGCTACTGTCCGACGGGTGAGTGGCTGGCTGTGGGAATGGAGAGCAGTAATGTGGAGGTGCTTCATCACACCAAGCCTGACAAGTACCAGCTGCACCTGCATGAGAGCTGTGTCCTCTCCCTCAAATTTGCCTACTGTGGTAAGACACTGTTACTTCACCTTATATGTAGTGCATCTTGCACCTGAGAATAAATGGGGGAAAAACAATAGACTTGCTATGAAATATGTCTGAGCCATGACATGGGAAAACAATTGCACAGAGTACTTCTGCCTTACTTTAGTATTCAGTAGTGTTTTTCCGTTTTAGCTGGGCCAGGTTGCACTTTGTACCACCCCCAGCGCTCTCTCTCTTTTTCTCTTAATGGCTCACTCTGCTTCCAAATAAGTCGAGCTGTAGTGAATCAAGTCATTTAGATCAACCTTGACTCTGTACCCATTAGTGCATGTGTGTTTGTTCCATTTCCCAAAGGTAAATGGTTTGTGAGCACTGGGAAGGACAACCTCTTGAATGCCTGGAGGACTCCCTATGGTGCCAGCATTTTCCAGGTATGTCAATCAATACCTCATTGCCTCCCTTCGCTACAATACATTGGGAATTAATGTGTGTTTGTGTGATTTCTAGTGTGAGATTGATAGATTCTGTCTTCAGGCTTTCTTTGGGACTTTTATCCCTGTTGTAATAGAGTCTTTGAGTGATGGCTTTTATTTTTGCTGTGGAGATGCAGCTGTACATTAAAATGGGCCATTAGTCTGCTAAACACGGCATCTTTGTTGGCAAACATTTTGCAAGTTTAATGGTTTAGCACAAGTTTGAGGAAACAAGGCTGGAAGCAGTGCTTCAGTTTTAGCCTCCCGCTCCCTGGACAATTTGTTAAAAAGTGTATATATGGAGTAATAAAGACGTTTTATAAATATATATAATTCTATATATTTCCATGTCCTGATATACTTGTGATGGGTTTCTTTGTCCTCATGTCCTTAATGCTTGATGAATGTAGATTAGGACACACTTTTTAATATTGATTTTGTAAGCACACTCTCTGGGCTGGCAATTTGCTAAAAGGCTTACGTGGAAAAACCCTTCCTGTTCCAGAATAATCTTGGTAATTGTTTTTTTTTTGCTTTTTGAGCCTGTGCTGTTCATGGAAAATGGGATCAGACTGGAATCCTGCGGAAGTCGGAATACGACGGAAACAGCCCAGAGGAGAGTGAGGAGATGTTTGTAAATTGACAGCGATATTAAACCTGGAGAATGACTAACTGTACTACTTTTCTGTACACTTTGCATTGTGTGGCGTCTTGTTGGAAAGACGAATTCAGATAATGAAGTGTGATTGTAACATGCTGACTCGGCGTGGATCGCACATTGCGATGAGTAACTTGCCAACTGATCCCATAAGTGGCCCCACTGTAGTTCACTGTTGTTGAAATGGGATATGATTCACCCCAGTGATTGACAGCTTACGTCTGCTGTTGAGCCACACCCTAATGAGCCTGCAGCCCTGTTTTCGCTCACAGATTGATGTAAACCTTCTACATGAGTGATCGGAGTCAGTTGGGGATTCGCTTCTGTACAAGTTGAGCCAGTTTTCTAATGAATATATTCTTTGCCTGCACTGACTTGGATGGAAGCTAAGTGTGAAAGTGTGTGGGCATACGAGAGAGAGAGAGAGACCGGCTCTTTTAAACCTGATCCTGGCTAACCCTTTTTGTGTAAATGTGGACTGTTTTAACTGTGGGAACTGGAGTCTGCTTCATGGGGCCGCAGCAGAACCGGTCACGGCAAACTCTTCTTTAGTCTTTAGTACAATACAAAACCTGACCCGCCTGCCTTTCACAATCTCGCAAATTCACACCAAAGTATGTAGCAAACTGTGTCAGCACTGATCATGTACTGTTGTTAATAATTCAATAAACTTTTTTTTTTCTTTTTCATAAAACATGTCATGAATGTTGGTTTAATTGAGAGCACCATTGTTGGATTTGAATCACAGGCTGGGTGTGTGTCCCATTAACCCCATATGTCTTAAGTATGTAGACTAATGACAGAGGCCAGGAACGCTGGAAATGTTATCTAGATGTTCCCACATGGTGTCAAGCTGCTGAAAGGCTGACTGAAGAGTTGAGACATGAAGTTGTGTGTGTGTAAAAGAGACACAGTTTTTGCTGCCTCAGCTATCTGTTGCAACCACAGACCCAGCTGACTCAAATATGCCCTGTGGTCCCCCAGCCACAGCTGGTGATACACAACACAATCTTTCGATTTCCTGACCTCAAGTGGATTATCAGCCAGGAAGTGCGTTTGTGTCATTCGATTTATTCTGATGGTTTGAGCTGGTTTCGTTAAGAGTGTGATTGCAGTAAATGTCTGTCTCTCACCTTCTCCCACATTTACAAGTAAAATGACTGTAACTTAGAGAAATGAAACTTTCTTACACTTCCTCTGCCCATGAACTTTGCTATTAATGTTTGCCCACAACAGCACAGGCTACACCATGTGTATACTCAAATCTATAGGTGCCATTTCTACTTGGCACTGATGGGAGTTCTTAAAAAAGTGAGAACCTTACAGGGTGAACACAGTTCTTTTCTTTTGGCATTGAACATAACTTGTATTGTTGAAGGAAAGGGGAATGTGTCGAACTTAATGCTTATTTTGATTTTAAGAAAAAGGACTGGTGTTGGAGACTGAAAAGCCCAGATGAAATCTGTGGACTTTTTTAATGCATTGTTTACACTGGTTTTAGAGGGAAATCTAATCTAAAAAAAAAAAATTTTTATGTGGTAAAATGTGTCAAACTGTGCATACGTATTGCCAACTGTGTAGTGCTTTATATGGCCACAGATTCCAATGATATTGTTCCTCTTGTGTTATATTTATAGCTGTGGTGTGGACTTTGCAATTGACATAGAATTGGAATGATTGTTAAAACGATCTAGTCCTCGTCCTTGGTATGAACGGGCCTTTGCTGAAAATGGAAAAAAGAAACTTGCATCTAAGTGATGCCACTTCCATCATAGCTGTCAGAGAAGTGCTGAGGCCTCTGTTACGCCTTTCTTACACCTTACAATCTCTCACAGACAGATTTTGAACTCTATTTCACATTAGCATGAGTGCAGTCTTTACTGCTAATGTGTGCACTCCTGTCTAAATGCACCAGACTGGATGATAAAGTTGGTCTTGCTGTTGGCAAAGGAGTGTCAGTTTTCATGATTCAGCTCTAGACTGGTGTACCAGCCTGTTAAATGGCAATAGATTGATCAAACGAGAGTTATTGATTTTCACTAATCTGCAGATTTTGATTGTCTCCCTCAGACGATGACGAACTGACCCGCTCTGTTTCCCTGCTTGGCGAGTCAGGTGTCTGCATTATTCTCCCTGTCCAGAAGCCCTTTCAGAACCTCAAACCCAGAGCTAATTCAGTTCCTGTGAATGCTGGTTAAACTTGACTGACGGAGTACCTTTTAGCATTTGTGAAGAAGGTTCTTTTTTTTTTCTCTCCTTTGGTTGCTTTCTGTTTTCTCCTTCGGTCTTTCTAAAGCTTACCTTTCTTAGCTGGCAGCCCCTGAGTTTGATGTTCTCCTCAGAAAAGGTGCTGAGAGGATGAAGGAGAGGGAGAGATGCACTCCAAATCCCAACATACTGATTTTCCTGCAGGCTTTCGTTCTGCTCTCGCTCTCTCTCATCTCTTTCATTTCTTTTGCTCTGATGTGAAAAGGCTGTACGTAGACGAGGTGTGTTTTTATTTTCACTTTTTCTTGTTTCTTCCTAGTTTCACTCTTAATAAGGGAGCAGCTGAATAGGTAGAGATTAAAGGGCTATCCTGTTGAGTGGCACCGCTGAAGAGGAAGAGAGGGAGAGAAGAGGCTCCGTCGAGAGAGGGAGATAGAGAAGGGCTTCTCTATGAGAGCGACCAGCGATTTGATACAATCCTCCACTCTTTTCTCTCCTCTGAAGAGCTTTCATCAGGCCTGCACACAAGTGCCCTCTCCACTCAGGCCTCAAATTAGTCCAGGCTTACTGAGCCAGATGAAACGGTAACCTCACTCATCCTCCACTGCCGTCTCTCTCATCCTGCGATACGAGCGTGCTCAGGAATCTTTCTAGTGGCTCTTGAGGAGACTCCTACTGAACTGGAGGAGAAGTCGTGTGAGAAGATTAGTTTCATCCGTCTGGTTAGACGGAGGGCAGTTTAGTGCATGTATGTGATCCTGAGTTCATGAGTTTCTTGCAGCATTTTCATTTGAAGACTGAGGTAAAGTTACTGTTATTAAAGCTCAAACATGACAGTCTCACCGCATTCCTTTTGTGTTCAGTGTTATATTTGTTCAGTCTGAGACATTATAGCAGAAACAGACCACTTACACTAAAATTTTGGGGCCAGCAAAAGCTGTGTTTGAAAAAAAATCTTTAATGCTTACTAAGGCTGTGTTTATTTGATCAGAAACAGGGTAAAAGCAGTAATATTGCGAAATATTGCAATTTAAATAGACTGCTTTCTGTTTGAATATATTTTAAAATGTAATTTATTTCTGTGATGGCAAAGTTGAATTTTCAGCAGCCGTTACTCCAGTCATCAGTGTCACATGCAAATCATTATAATATGCTGATTTGGTGCTCAAGGAACATTATTATTATTGTCTGCTGAATTTTTTGTTTATGCTGATTATTGTCTATGGTTGTGCTCTGTCACTAATATACACTACTGTACAAAATTTAATTTTTAAATATTTTTTTAAACACTTATTTAGCAAGGACTGAAAAAATTATCTTGATAAAATGAATCCTGGAAAAAAAAAACTATTAAGCAGCACAACTGTTTTCAACCTTGATAATATTTAAGAAATGTTTCTTGAGCACCAAATCAGCATATTAGAATGATTTCTGAAGGATCATGTGACACTGGAGTAATGGCGAATGAAAATTCAGCTTTGCATCACAAGAATAAATTACTTTTTAAAATATATTAAAATATAAATTTTATTTTCAATTGTAATAATATTTTACAATGTTACTTTTTTTTACTGCATTTATCAAATGAATGCAGACTTAGTGAGACTCAAAAACATAAAAAAAGGGTAACACTTTCTATGAAGCCGTATTTATAATACATTATAAGGGTATACTTAAGGCATTATAATGAATGCATAATGCTTTATAAAAACCCTTATATGTTGTATCATCTCATGAATATTCATAAGAACGGTTTTAATACTTATAACCACAAATACGTAAGTATTATGATGTATTATAACTGTTGTTATGATTATTCATGAGTTGATATAACATATTATAAGTTTTTTGATAATGCATTATGCATTCATTATAATGCCTTAAGAATACCCTTATGATGTATTATAAATACGGGCTTCATAGAAAGTGTTACCAAAAATCTTAATGACCCCAAACATTTGATTAATAGTGTGCATTATGGACAGTGTTAAGAGGTGAAAAAGCTTATAACATCACAATATAATCTTTTATCGAGTTTGCTGTATGTGTGTATAACGTATTGTTTCTGTCCATTTCATTGTTTGGATCATGTGTACAAATGCTATTGTACCTTACAGTTACATCCATCATGGTGCTCTCTGACAGACGGGATGGAAGAGGA